TATTATTATTATTTGTTATTTATGGCTGAATATAATACTTTACCATCACTTTTTTAGTGAAGCCTTCTCTGACCCTCCAGACAACAATTTGTATTTCTCCCTTTGAGCATTTAGTGGCCTGATAAATGATTAATTACTTATATGATTTTTTTTTGGTTTAATATCTGTAAGAGTGGCAGTCAATGCCCCACTTACATCCTCTTGGAGCTGACCATTGTTGTACATAATGACCCAATGGCTTCCAACGGTAAACACTTGCAACTCTTTCAGTACATAGTCTAGCTGCCAATTCCCAAACAGTCCTTGTGTATGACAAATGGTGAGTGTTCCCCAGAAACAGTTCTCAACCAAGGAGTTGGTAGATACTCTACCTTGCCTCTTGATTGGGATACTTCTGAGGTATGTTCTACAACATCTCCCAGAGTTCCTCAGCAGTATTAATCTGAATTATGGCAGTGACAACCTGCTAGGTAATACAATTTGTATTGACTTCTTTTTTTTCCCCATCTTACTGCCACAAATACCTCTTTGGATCACCTCTCAAATAAGCCATTTGCACTCAGATCTTCAAATTAAGAAACATTTGCTTGTGGGCAAACCAACCTAAAACAATATATGTCTCCTTAACTAGACTGCTAGCTCTATTGGACTGAGACTATGTAGGTGATGACTAAATATCAGTTCACTTTTTTGCCCCCTGACTCAACTGGAGTTTACCTCATATGACTGGTCCTATAGTTATATATATAGAAAGTTTATCTTACCATCTTCAGGGTGGGCTATGCACCTATGAATGATTCTAATGTTATTGAAGACAATATAATAGAATAAATATTATTATTATTATTATTGAGTCAAGGTCTCACTCTGTCACTCAGACTAGAGTACAGTGGCACAATCATGGTTCACTACAGTCTCAACCTCCTGGGCTCAGGCAATCCTTTCACCTCAGTCACTCAAATAGGTGGGACTACAAATGCTCGCCACCACAATCAGCTTATCTTTTTTATTTTTATTTTTTTTAGAGATGAGGTCTCACTATGCTGCCCAAACTAGTCTTGAACTGCTGGGCTCAAGTGATCCTCCCACCTTGGCTTTCCGAAGTGCTGGGATTATAGACATGAGCCACCATGCCTGGTCACAACAGAATAAATATTATTAAAATATATAGTTGAAAACATTGTTCACTTGCCCCAAATAATATATTTCTCTGGAAAATTACTGAATGATTCCAAATTATTTAGAAAACCATTTCTAAAATCATACTAAGATTGTTTCCCATACCTTCTTACTCGAAGACTTCACCTCTATTTTGTGACACACCCCTCGATGGCCAATATCTTGAGGGAGTCCTATATTTGGCCCTCTACATGCTTCTTGCTGTCTCTCTCTCCCCCTCTCTCCCTCTCTCCTGCTCCTCCTCTCCCCTGTTTCCCCTACCTCCCTCCCCTCCCTCCTCCTCCTCCTTCTCCTCCTCCTTTCTCTCCCCCACCCCCCACAAGGCCATTTACAAGTTAACAGAGCTGAGCTGTAATTCTACATTTCACCATCAGTAGCCGCTGTTTGACATCATACTGCAATGTAAGAAATTTCACAACTAGGCTCTGAGTGAATGCCCAAGGAAGAAATCAATTTGCTTTACTGTGCTTTAGTGTGCTACATCCACCAGAGAGGATCAATGTTGTTAATACTTAACAATCGTGGCATATAGGACTCAGGAAGGTACTCCTTTCTGGCAACACAGACTGTGGTGTGCTCCCTCTGGGTGCCTACCAATTATAATCTGGGGTTTGTAAACAGACAGAAGATTCCCTTGGAGGGAGTAATGATATTCCCTTTAACATGCCGTAAGACAAGTACTTTCTCTTAAACGTATTGCATGCTGACTGCAAAGTAAATTTACTTACTAATGGCAAAGGAAAACACCCAAAACCAAAACAAGGGACTTTGGTGAGACAGAGATATTCGGAGGTGAAGAAAAGAGTAGAGCACATTAAAAAATGCTATGGAGTATTATCAATCTGGGGCGGGGGGGAACTTGTTTGACTTGTCCAAATAAACATGCATGGTGAGATGTTAAGAGTATGGATTTGGAGTCAGTCTTGTACCTCACCACAACTAGTGTTTTTCTTTAAGCACAATAGCACAAAATTTCATCACGTTAAGACTCATTTTCTTCATTTGTAAAGAGGGAATAGTAATTATTATCCCATGAGGTTATTCTGAGAATCAAATTACAAAATATAACTAAAGTGTCTGGGACAGTAGATACCCCCAGCACAATAACATATATTGCAGATGTTCTCAGTGCCAAAGTTATATCTCCTTGGAATTTATCATTCTACGTACAAAATGATGGCTTCCTACAGACTGCATCCAAAGATCTCTGCCTGGAAATTCTCTCTGCACAGAACTGATGTGTCAGGGAGTTAATACTCCTAGGAACAGCTCTTGGCCAATCATACATAAAATTTAGGGAATAAATACTTATGCCCCCACTCCTTGGCTGGGACAACTCTGAGACTTGTTTCACACAGTCTTTCAAATGTCCCTTCCATGTTGGAGCTCCATTTATCCACTACAATAACCTGCTTATTAATATATCCCATATTGGCTACTATCCATTCCCCGTCTCACTTTCCTACTTTCCAACTGGAGCTTGAAATAATCTCCAAAATAAACCACCAGCACTCAAATTCTAGTTTCAGGATAGAATCCAGCCACCACACTATATCTCACAACGTAAACAGAATGAACAATTTGGACAACTGGATTTACAATAAGACACCCAATTAATTAACCGAGGCCAGTCACTTCAGCCTTTTCTCAACCGCCGTTTCTCCCTCCATTGTGCAGCTGCTTCCTCAGTTGGGGCCTTCTCATTTATTCTGGTTTTTGCCCACACTATAGTATCTAACTGATCTCCATGCTTCTGGTAACTCTATCATCTAATCCATCACCCACTTATTGGCAAGTTATTATCCCAGAACACAGTTCTGGTGTGTTCTTTCCTTAATTTTGTTTTTTAAGCCTTTAGTGGTGCCCATTGCCTCCATAATTGTCTTAAATTTTATGATATGGTATCAAAGCTGGTTCCATCCAACTCTTCAGCCTCATCTCCAGTGATTGCTAAATACAGCCAATGCTCTGCTCACATAGAACAAACCAGCATCTTCTCAAAAGCACTTTTACCTGTCACCTTTCCATGTGTTTGAATGCGTTTGTGACCTTTTTAACCTGAGGCACCTGGATCATTCCTCAAGGTCTGGTCACATGTTTCCTCCTCCATAAGGACTTCTCCTGCTCCTGGGACATGTTAATGATTCCTTCCTCCTGGTTCCCACAATAGCAGCAGTATTTACTGAATCATTCATTCATTCAACAAGCTATTTCTGGGCATATTCTATGTACAAATCACGTGCTAAGCCCTGGAGAAACCACGCTGATAAAAACAGAAATTGCATCTGCCTATAGGAGGTTCATGGTTGGATGAAGGAAGCAGACATAATCATATAAAAATTAGTTACAAAGTGACATAAAGAAATAGATACAGAACCAGCCTGGGCCTGGAGCACCTTCCACAAGGAATGAACTCTTAAGATGAGAGTGACATAGGAGTCAACACCAGATGAAGGAGATGGAACACACATTCCAGGTCAAGGAGACAGTAGGTGCAGAGCCCTGTGGTAGAAGGGGATATAATGCTCTTTTGGGGGATTAGAAACCCATGGCATCTAAAGCAGAGAGGCACAGAGAAAATGAGGGAGAAGAAGCACTTGGATCATTCATTGTGCCATGTCAATTTGCTGGTGGTGTCCTCCCTGCCTTTTGCTCTGAGCTTGAGCTCTTCGAAGGTAATTATCATGTATCCACCTTAGCACTTTGCACAATGCAAGGAACAAAATTAATATACTCAATTTATGGATGAGGGTATTGAGGCCCAGGAAGGTTGAATGAGTTGTCCAAGATCTCAAGGCTGGCAGTGGCATAGCCACAAGAATATATGCCTACCATTCCTCAACTGCATCTATTTCCTAGGCAAAGCAAGCAACACCCTTATCATTTAAAAAAAAAAAAATCTAAGTTTTTCTATGCAGTATGCAGTCTGCTCCCTCCCCCCCCCACCCTCCCGTGAAGGGCCTGATA